ATTATGGGGCCAACGAGGTAGCTCAGCAGACTAAAATGCCTGCCTAGGCAAGTTTGATCCTTGGCACCATGTGCAGTGCCAGCCCCTCCCATAGGGCAGGCTGAGCCAAACACCAAAAAAAAAAAAAAAAAGAACCAAAATTATGATCCAGTGTCCAAGTGCAAACTAATCTTCAAACCTGTACTTAAAAATACCCTATTTATGTGTATCTTTTGGAACAATCATAATGGCCACTCTTTACATAATCACTTGATATGAAATAAATAAACAATGTATTTGCTTTTCTTCCATTGAGTATTTAACAATGGCAGGGACAGCTTCTCAGAAGTATCACTTCTGAGATTCATTTCTCCTTTTTCACCTCAAATGGTGACTCTTTAAGAAGTTCTGTAACTCATTAGGCACATATGTCAGTTAAAGAAATACCTTGAAGGCAGGGGCTGTATAGCTCAACGGCATGAGCACCTGCCTGGCAAGCACAAGGTCCTGAGTTTGAACCCCAGTACCTCCAAAAAAACCCCCAAAAAAAGTACCTTGACAGTTCTCATTTTGCTTCTGGATTCACTTCATACCTCTGATTCCTGACATTTTTCTTTCTCTTAGTGTTCTGTCAATTAAAATATAAGTGTTTTTGTTGTTGTTTTTATGTATTTAGTACAGGGTCTACAGGGTCTCACTACATAGATCAGACCCATAGTGATTTTCCTGTTTTCAGCCTCCTAAGTGCTGGGATTACAGACACATGCCACAATGCCCAGTCTCAGTTGCCATCTCAAGGTGCCCCGGAGGCAGGGCCGACGTGGCACATCAGGGATCGAACCCCCCAGTCCCTGTGCTCTGCCTGAGCAGGCACTTTAATCCACTGAGCTATCTGGCCTGCCCTCTTAAAATATAAATGTTTTTGTTGTGATCTTTCCTTTAATGTGCCATCCAAATCTACCAGCTAAATTTAACCCTCTGAATTTGGGATTAGACACTCAAATTTCTATGCAGTGACTTCAAAATGAGATATTAACTCATCCATAGGAAATGTATCTTTCCCAAAAAAATAAATAAATTACTTAATTTTCTGTGACTACAGATTGCAGCACCAGTCATTCGAGCATTATTCTCTCCTAAGGAAATGTGGTTTATTTAAGCTTTAAAATTTCATGGGGGGGGCAAGAGGAAGTAAAAAGAATTAAGATGTGTTATATACATGTACCAGATCTCCTTGTTGGATGTAATCATGTACTAATAAACATGTACTAATGAACATTAACAATTTTATTTTAATTGATTCCTTCGGTACAACATTTTGAGTATAATAAAGCTAAGTTGTAGGACTGGGTAGCAGTGGGGGGAGACTAAAAAGTGAAACATGACATTTACAGATTGCGTTTTTATTTTAAATGGATTTTTTTTGCAACTTACCACCTTTAGGTAGATGCCAGCCCACATGATTAATTAACATTTTCTACTGGCTCATCTTCTGGGACAATGTAATATACAGGGGTCAGATGTGCAAAAATCAACTCATTCATGATTTAAATGTAATTTTTACAAACTTAATTATTAAGGCTTAGATTTCATTAATCACATGAGTTAAATATTTTTCACTTGTCATGTCTCCTACTAAAGCATGTCTGTTGATCATAGTCAGAGAGCTGGGTGGGCCTTTGAGGTCTGAGGCCTGCATGCCAGCATCTCTTCTATAGCACCCCAAATAAGTGACCCCCAGGATTCTCTATGACTAGTTAGTGCATAGGTGAGTAAGCTTTTTCTGTAAAGAGCCAGACAAATACTTTACACTTTACAGTTTGTCACAGTAACTCAACTCTGCAATTACAAGACAAAAACAGACTGTAAATAATATATAAATGAATGGCCATGGCTGTATTCCAATAAAATAGTATTCACAAAGACAGATGGTAGGTTGGCTTTGGCCTGTAGGGCACAGTTTGCTAACTCTCTGATCTAGTGATTTTATGAGATAAAACAATCCTGAGTGTTATTTCTTCCTTCAGCATTTATCACAGGGAAATTAAGCCAAACTCTGTACTGGTATAAAGAAAAAAGTAGCCCACAGTTCATGCTTGTCTCTGAGCTCTCCTGGTTCCTGAAGAGCTTTCCCATGATACCTACCACTCATGGTATATTAGAGTCCACAGCATATTGTTCTTGTTCTTACACGTCACTTCTTGCCATGACTCTTCACCATATTTCACATTTGTGAGGGCCACATCAGCTTACTAACAATTTGCATGTCATTCCTCTTTTCAGAGCCCTTAAGATCTGAGTAAGTTCCCAAATTTTTTCAAATCCAAGCTTTGTGGAATTCTCTCAACTGTGACCAAATTGCCAGGATGAAGATAGGGTAGCACTTTACAGTCTCATGGTCACTTGACTTTGGGTTCCTGGCTCCACTTACATTGTTTCTATCCAGCAACACATTGGCCCAGATGCAAAGCAATTGGTCATTTTCCTTTAGAGACTTTGTCCCAACAGCATGAGCCTGCTAAAACTTCACTGCTCCTTTATAATATTAGTACTAGTCTTTTATGATATTCCCCATTTTTAAAAAAGTCCTGGTCATCTGTAGCCAAGATCATTGAATGAAGAAATCTTTTCAATAAACAGTGCTGGAAAAAATTGGATGTCCACATCCAAAAGAGTAAGTTGAACCCTTGTCTCATGCCATGTATAAAAATTAGGTCATTATGAATCAAAGACCTAAATGTAAGGGCTGGCAAGGTAGCTCAGCAGACTAAGTGCCTGCTTATACAAGCACAGGGACCAGGGTCCGATCCTCAGCACCACATGCCAAACCAGCCCCACCCCAGGGCAGACACCCTGAGCCAGCTGGACACTGGGCATGGTGGTCCATGTCTGGAATCCCAGCCCTCGGGGCTCTGAAATGGGGATCACTACAAGTCCAAGCTGCAAGACCTAAGTGTAAGAGATAAAACTCTTAAGAAAAAATGGAATAAAACCTCATAATCTTTTCTGTGGGACTTCTTAGATACAACACCTAAAGGCACACAATAAAAGAAAAAAAGAAATTGAACTTCATCAAAATTAGAAACTTAGGCTGGGGAGATAGCTCAGTAGAATAAGTGCTTATCTGGCAAGCGCAAGGGCATGAGTTCAATCCCCGGTTCCTCAAAAAAAATAAAAGTAAAAATTCTTTGGGGCCAGGGAGATGGCTCAGTGGAATAAGCGCTTCCTTGCAAGCGTAAGGGTCTGAGTTCAATCCCCGGTTCCTCAAAAAAAAATTGTTTCCAGTCTTGGGGGGAAAAAAAATAAAAACTTGTGTTTCCAAGGATGCTATCCAGTTAGTGAAAATAAAATGTATGTAAGTGCCTGTGATCCCAGCACTTGGGAGGCTGAAAACAGGAGGATCACTATGAGTCTGATCTGTGTAGTGAGACCCTGTACTAAATGCATAAAATAAAATAAATGTATAGAATGGGAGAAAATATTTTCACAGCATGTCTGATAAGAGGTTTGTGTCCAGTGTCCAGCATATGTTAACATAACTCAACCTATTAAAATACACAAAGGATCTGAATAATATTTTTCCTAAAAAGATATACAAATGGCCAATAGTAACATGAAAAAACACCCCATACACTCAGTCTCTGGAAAAATGTAAATCAAAACTACAATGAAAAATCACTTCATACCCACTGAAATGATTGTAATAAATTTTCTCATTTTTGACAATATAATAGGTGCTGGCAAAATGTAAATAAATCACAACCCTTATACAGTGTTAGAATATAAACTAGACCGGCTGCTATAGGAGAGTTCTACATTAAACACAGAATTACTATATGACTCAGTTATGCATTTCATCCATTCAAGGTGACATCATGTATTCTCAAGAAAATTAAGAACAAAAATTCAAACAAAAACAACATAAGTGTTCCTAGCAGCACTATTCATAAGAGCCAAACATCCATCAACTGATAAACGGCTAAACAAAATGTGGTACATTCCCTATGGTAGAATAAAACAGCCATTAAAAGGAATAAGTACTGATATGTTACAACATGGATGAACCTTTAAAGTATTATGGTAACTGAAGCTGAAAATGCAATACTACATATTAAGACAGGCATGGTAGCACACACCTGTAATATCAGCACTTGGGAGGCTGAAGCAGGAGGACTGTTGGGAGTTCAAGATCAGCCTGGGCTACAAAATGAGCTCACGGCCAGCCTGAACTGCATAACGAGACCTTACCTCAAGACAGAGACCACATGTAATGTGAAATGTCCGGAACAGACAAACCTGGAGAAAAAGTAGTTTAGTGGTTGCTTAGGGCTGGGTGCGGGCAGCAGGAATAGGTGAGTGAAGGCCCAGCAGTGAAGGGTCTCTTTGAGATCATGAAAATGTTCTAAAGTTGTGATGGTTGCACATCTGTAAGTAAAAGTCATTGAATTACACACTTTGAATTGATGAATTCTGTGGCATGTGAATAATAGTAAAGCTGTTTCTAAAAAATAAATACAACTGTTTGGGGAAAAAAATATCCATAGGAATTCAGCAATTTGACGTAATCCTTTTAGCCATCCCATGATATCTTAATAACCAGAGTCTATCATAATCACCCCTGAGAATTCTGTGTTCTTGAAATGTGATATGAACATAATTAGTTGTCGCTGAGTGATTTCACAAGTTTCTTTCCCCACAGGTATCAGGAATTCAGGGAGTCACTCCCACAGTGTCGGCTTCCATGGGGTGCTGAGAGGGAGTATGGGGGGATGATTCCAGTTGCACTCCCTGAGGAGCACAGGCCCAAATGTGAACCTCCTTGTGTCATGGGCAAAGGACATCAGCATTACGGATTTGGTGGAGAAATGCATCCAAGGTACCTAAGCTTTTGGCCACTCTATAATGGTCATTATTAATTTCTAGTCAGTCTTTTTGCTTGAAGACAGTTTTTTATTATTTATGAAAACAGATGGAACAGATAATTATGTGATTTTTAATTGTGCAGCAAAAAGTGTGTTTATGAACTTTTTGCTGTCCTTAGAGATATTAAAGTGTTGTGATTAGAAATTCTGATTAATCTAATTCCCTCACTTACCATATCTTACTAAAAGTAAATGGGAGTGAGAGAAAGGGAGAGAGACATTAAATGTAAAATGATTTTAAGCAAAGAGCTGGCCTAATTTCTACAGATGCTCTTGGGTTTTGGAACTTTTGATATGTCATTTGTTCTGCAATTTTTACTATAGTCATGAGAACTTGCTAGGCACTGCTGTCAAGTATTAAAATATTTCAGTAATAATTTATGATGCTTAAATTCACTTCTAGAAATTCTGTTCAAAACACAAGTTAAGCGAAGCAAAAAAAAAGTCAAAGCAGTAAATGTCACATTAAATATTTACTATAGATCTATAGATTATGAAATTTACTCAGAATCAAACCTACAGGGCCCACTTTCACCAGCTGTACTGAACTATCCTGGTTACCTGGTTTACGGACAATCTAGTCAACTACGTTTTCGTTGCTATTTTTTATTAGTATCTTTCTGCAATACACAGTGGCTGCTTTCACTGTGTGTAGCTGGCACAGTACGCCTTAATTCTTTCTTATCCCCTTCCTGACCCTCTTCCGCCTCCCTCCATGTCTTGGTCCCCTTCCTATTTATGCACTCTATCTCCCTATCTCCTTTACCCTTTTATTTTGCTCTTTTATTCATTTATACAGTGGTCCAGCACCGATTCGTGAACAACCAAACTGTTCACAGACAGAATATTTGGCAAAATTTTGGTTTGATTTGTAAACTCGGTATCAAGTGACAAACATTACTATGGCCATCTTTTCCACATGAACATGGATCTGGCCACCTTTTCCAGAACTGTGGAACAAATTAAGTTTGTGAACCAAGCTACTATTGTATTTTGGGTTCCTCATATCAGAGAAACTATGCAGTATTTAATGTGTCTCATTTGTTTCACTTAACATTATGGTTTAAGGTTCATCCATTTCCTATAAGTTACTAAATTGTTTCCTGCTTTATAGCAGAGCTTTTGAGGTAAATATATCTATAAGGAGAACTCTTCTAAAGGAGCATTAGCAATGTTTACTTACCCATGATGTTCTAAATGAGGCTAGTCCCCATCTATTTGAGCATCCATTCCCTGAAAGAATGAAATCACAACATGACACCAAACAATAAAAGGGGAATGGTCTTGTCCCATTAATTTTAGTAAGTGGAAGCCAAGGAAAGAAAATTATATGCAGTTTATTCTACTCTTACTTTTTGTTTCCCAACAAGGTGTTTGGAGTGGGACAGTTCTTTGTACCAAGTATTCCATGATGGTTAGTAACCCTGGCTCTTTGCCTATGGATACCAGTAGCACCCTTCATTCATGGTGACAACCAAATAAAACCACCCCCACCCCCACATATTCCCATATTCTCCCTACAAGTGTCAGGGCCCAAGGAAAAATCACACTATTGATTGACAGTCATTACTTTTAACCCCATTCCCACATTCCAAGTGCACAGTGAGGCAAGTTGAGTCTGCAAAATACTGCCATTCTCCAACTGAAGAGACTATTCAAGTAGAACACTTACTAGTTAGGTTGAATATTTGTTCTTATTTTTGAGTTTCATGTATGGCCATTTACAGTTCCCTTTTTTTTTTTTTTTGGTACCCAGAATTAAACTCAGGACCTTCTGCTTGGCAGGCAGGTGATGGTGCCACTGAGTTGCATCCCCCACCCTACATTTCCTTTTCTGTTCTTATTCTTTGCTCATTTTTACTGCTTTTACTTTATCAATTTGGTGAGTTCTTAATGTTGTGAAAATCAATCCTTTATATATTATCTGTATTTCTTGTTTTTTTTGATTTTTTTTTTTTTTTTTTTTTTTTTTTTTTTTTTGGCGGAACCAGGGATTGAACTCAGGCCCTTACACTTGCCAGGCAAGCATTTATTCCACTGAGCCATCTCCCTGACCCTTAGTTGAATTTTTTATGGTGTCCTTTGTCTTTAAAAATTTCCTTTTACCCTTTAATTTTAAAAAATCTTATTTAAACTGGGCATAGTGGTGCATACCTGTAATCTCAGCTCTCACAGACCCCAAGGCAGCACGATCAAAAGCTTGAGCCCAGCTCGGCAGCGTAGAGATTTAGGGAGAGCCTGTGTCAAAATAAAAAATAAAAAACGACTGGGTTATAAAAAATAAATAATAAAATAAATAAATAAAATAATTAAAAAATTTTAAAAAAAACCTCAGTGCAAAGCCCTTGGTTCAGCCCTAGCACACACACAAAAATAATTTTTTTTTTTTTTCTACTAGCAGTTGAACTCACGACCTCATGCTTGTCACGCAGGCACTGTGCCATTCAGCTATACCCTTGGCCAAAATAATAATTAATTAAATTAGGTGAAATATTTAAAAGGCCTTACCATCAAAGAAAAACATTCCTTTACATTTTCTATTAATATTTATATATATTTTTCCTCAATTCTTTAGATTTCATTTGGTTCATTTGTTTGTTTCTTGAGACAGAGTTTCACTATGTAATCCAGGCTGGCTTTGAACTCACTATGTGGCCAAGGCTTGCCTCAGACTCACAGGGATCCTCCTGCCTCAGCCTCCTGAGTTCTGAGATTACAGACATGTGCCACCACACCTGGCAATTTTTTAGATAATCTGAAATTATCTTTTTTTTTTTTTTTGGTGGTACCGGGGATTGAACTCAGGTCCTTGCGCTTGCTAGGCAAACACTTATTCTATTGAGCTATCTCCCCGGCTGAAATTATCTCTTTGAATAGTATCAACTAATGATACATTATTTTCCAAATGGATAGTCAATGTTTCCTGTAAAAAAAAAAAAAAAAAAAAAAAACATATTTTCAACTAATTTAAAATGCTTTTTTGTATACTGAATTTTCATATATTCATGGTTGTATTAGCAAATATATTTTATTGTCTCCTCATTTATACTGTCTTAAGTAGATATCAACTTAATCTTTTCTTTCATTTCAGAAAGCTTCCTGTAGAACAGTTCTATTACTTGACACAGAACAAAAAAAGTGACATCTATGGAAATGATTCTTTGTAAGTCCAGAGATTTTCCCCTGGCTTATGTTAAATTAAATAATATTTTAAGTAAAAATAAATTACATGAGAAATTGCAAAAACTCTACATGGGGACTTTTGAGAAACAAATTCTTCCTTTTTATTAAAATAAATATCACTGATAGTAGAAATCAAGACTAAACAAAAAGGTAAATAAATGAAAACTAACAGTTTCTGCCGTCAATCTGTTTAATCTAGTAAGAGTATTTCCTTAAGAGTCGTAGCAAATGCCAGTGTCCCTCAACAATTTTTTTCATTAGAATTTTATGAAAAGAGAGGTATGTTATGATCACCTACAAATAACTCTCAAAAATGACTCCCTTTATAATTTTCAGCTGTCATCCAAGTAAGAAATACTAGTTAATGGGCTCTATATTTAAAATATATTATTTTCCAGTTATGTACATTCCTTAAAATAATTTATTGCATATAACACAAAATCATAAATTATTTTCAAGTTTAAAAAAAGACAGAACTAAGTGATAAAAAGTATCACTTTTTTTTACATTACTGTGATTTGTTACCTGTTTATGGGTTGAAAAGTTAATGCAATATAGGATGTAGCCACTAGAGGGAACCAAAAAGCCAGAACTTATGTTTGCCTGGGCTTTATCCTTTTGAGTGTAGTGAAGTTTGCGAAGTAAATGTGGAGCGTGGCAATAGGATGAATTAAGTTTCTCTTTTTGGTATGGGGAATCGAACTGGGGACCTTGTTCTAGCCAGGCAGGCACTTGTGCCTGTGAACTATATCCCCAACCCTCATCAAGTTAGTTTGGATCAAGAAAGTGGTGTCTCTCAATATTTGTTACTTTCCTTTTATTTCTTCCAATTTTGAAGAATCTTTTTAGAAGAGATTTCCTTGTATTTAAAAAGATTTTTTTTATTTACAATCAAACTAATTTTAGTCATAATTGTCAATATCTTAGTAAACTTTGTCACAGAGGCACAATTCCAGATAATGGTAATATTTTGTATACAGTGGCCTACCTAGTAACTCTGTCCCTTGCATTGGCATTATTCATGGCCAGCCTCCATCTCTCCATCTCAAAGCAGGCAATGATTTTTTTTAGTTCTCCTCACATTAACTCAGAGTCCAGTTATATAAACTTTTATGGCTCGGTGAATTATATGTTTATGATGCATTATAGGATAATAAAATTATATGACCACCATACCACTTTGTAGTGACTATCCTCTGGCATGGAGGAAAAGTCTAAAAATTAATGTATTAAATGTACCGATTTTTACTATCTGATAGAACTGTGTTCATTTTTCATGTCTGAAATCTTTCAGTCTTAGTTGCATTGGCTGTAAGTCAAACTGCCAAAGTCAAATGTAAGGCATATCCATCTTTCTCTAGTAGTCGCTTTCCAGGACTGTGGCGTTATTTCTTGGCAAGCACAGTTCCAAGTAGCTAACAAAAACACAACCTTGGAATGAACCAGTTCAGAAAGGGCCTCTAGGAGCTTTGTCAGTTTTATTGTATCCTCTCTCTACTGACTGGCCTCCATTTTCTATGATGAGAGGCCAGCAACCCTGGGCCAAGGGAAAAAGTGCACCTGGTACTTACATATCCTGTCCAAGTGGTAGGCCATATGCAGTCACCTCAGGTCACACTGTTGCATCACGTGGTTGATGCCTAGCTCAGGGCTCTTTGGGCTGCTGCCTGGTTATGAGGGTGAAGGTCACTGAGAACCAAAGCTTTCTTATCAGTACATGTTGCCAGCCCCTGTACTGTCACTGTAAATGAGAAATGCACAAAGGCTGATGACAGGGGCTGAAGTTAGAATAAATAGAATGGAAGAACTGACCAACAGGCAACTGTGATAGGAAAAGTTCCATATCAGTCTGTCTTACCAATATGGACACTTCCAAAAAGTTAATAAAAATATTCTAATGACAGTTTAGTTTGAAAATGGGATAGGTCTTTATTCTTGAGCAGGATTGCAGTAGAAATATAACTTTAAAGTCTTTAATTTACTTTAATATTTGTTTCCTGTTTTTATTCTAGGTTGCCCAAACCACCAAATTCAACAATAGAGTAAGTATACAAGCTACATTTTCCTCCTTTCTTGTTATAATAAACTAGAATAAAAGTGTAAATCATGATGATTATATTACTGAGCTTAAACACCCAAAACACTCTGTAAAATAAAGTCTCTAATCCTTTTTTTTTTTTTTTTTTTTTTGGAACCAGGGATTGAACTCAGGCCCTTGTGCTCACCAGGGAAGCGCTTATTCTACTGAGCCATCTCCCTGGCCCTCTCTGACCCTTTAAAAACAAGAATTAAAAGCAAATAAAATTTTGTACTGTATATTCTAAAAACCATGAAATTCACCTGTTCATCTTCTTCATATCAGTTATGAAAGTTATTCACTGATAATGAGGTGTGATTTTTTTAAAAAATAAATTTGGTGTTGATTTGTTGAGCAAAATTCAGAATTTTTCATGTTTTATGCCATATGTTCCATAGAATGTTAACTTCATGAATATAGGACATTTGGGTCCTGTCATATCCCCAGGGATTAGGAGAGTATCTGCCACAACAAAGGGTCCAAATAAATATTTAATAATTTTTTTCATTGTATTTCTTTTTCTTCTGTTTCTGTTTTATTTGCTCAATAAATCGTAGGGAAATCTGCTCGCCATATCCAATCGAACACCCATATCATACACACACCTCTCGTGGTGCCATGTTCCCGACCTTCACGTCCCCAAAGGAGCTGTACCCAGACATTAAAGCCTGCACCCATGGACCATTTCCTCCCACGGTGCCAACCAAGGCTTATGATACAACAGTTTTGAAGACAAGAGGTAAACTGTGACTTGAAATCAAAATTGTGTTAATTCTTATTATTGCAGTTTATTCAGTACTAAAATTAAAACAGGGAACACGAAGGACTCAAGACACAAACGTGTAACCAATCATAGCTTAGAAAGTTGTTTTCCGCTCTGGGTGCCCTGCTCAATCAGTGGGGACCCTCTCCCAGTCCAGTTAATGCAGACTGTAGACGATCCTGGCCTTTCTACTTTCTTTTTCTTTTTTCTTTTCTCTTTTCTTTCTTGCTACAATAGAAAATTTTATTGGAGAAAAGGGATGAAGAATAGGAATGGGTGGAATGGGACTGGGGATATAGCTCAGCGGCATGAGTGCCTGGCAAGCACAAGGTCCTGAGTTCAACTCCTGGTACCCCCCCCCCCAACACACACACGGAATGGGAGGAATGGAGAAAAGGAGTAGCTCCTAAGAGGCAGAAGGGGTTTTCTACTCAGCCTATATGATAGAATCGGAAACCAAAACTTTGTTAAGTTGGTTGTCTTTAAGTTTAATGTTTTCAAATTATGGACTGCCAGGGCTAGGGAGATAGATCAGCAGTCTAAGTGCCTGCCTGGCAAGCACAAGGCGCAGGGTTTGATCCCCAGTCCCACATGCTGTGCTGGCCCTGAAACCACGTGTGGTGGCACACACCTGTAATCCCAGTGCTGGGGAGTTTGAAACAGGAGAATGGCTACAAGTCTGAGCTGCATAGCGAGACCCTATACCAAATAAATAAAAAGATTTTAGGGATTGCCATTAAAGTAAGGCAGAAGGTAATGGAAACAGTTTCTCAGGATCTCTGACTACCCTGAAGCATCTTCTCTTACCACAAACTTCAGGGTTTTCCTTGATGTATCTTATTAGAGAGAGCACCAATCCCCACACTAATCCCCATACCAGTCACTGAGACCCTCCACACCAAGCACCTCCGTGCTCACTTAGCAAACCTGCAAGTACATGAAAACAAAAGGCCTGTGGACGGTTCTGAAGCTACTACAGCAAGGCTAACTGAAGGTGCAGGAATGGATTTAGTCTGTGAAGTGCTGTAGGCGTATGCACAGTTCAAGCAGTGGTCCTATAATGTAGTTCCTCTGTGCGTGAGTACTTAGGCAGAAAGGCAAGGACAGAATGCTTCCATCACCAGTATCAACCAACCCTAGGACCTCAAAGCAGGCACAATAACATCTGGAGGTTGGGATTCTGGGTCTGCCACGTACTCACCATGGATCACGAGCAATTCTTCTCTACCTCTGTTTCGATCCATAAAATAGGAATATTAGTACCACACCAGAGATGACAGAGATAAATCCTAGCGGTTATCTTTATTACTCTCACGTAACCCGATGACTCCATATGGGTACCCCATGCTGAACTCCTCTATTAACTCCCAGACCAGTCGGCACTGATCCAAGGCACACAAGCTGTATCAGGTATATTGGCTGTCAAGTGTTGCTGTCATGCTTAGTCATAGCACACCAGTGAGACAAGTACAAAGGTTCTCAAGACACAATACCTACATAACAGCAGTTTTTATGATCTTGTTAGGGAAATGGTCAAAGTAATTCCCTCTTTTTTCATTCTGAATTAGATAATTTGGGAAATTATATGAAAGCAAGCAGTCATAGAAACATGGGTTGAATTCATAAAAATACCCTTCTGGGCAGGCAAGATAGCTCAGTGGACTAAAGCTCCTGCTTAGGCAAGCTCAGGCAGGAAAGGGACTGTTGTTCAATCCCCAGTATTACACACTGCGCCAGCCCGGCCCTCAGGATGGGCTGAGCCAGCCACAAAAATAAATAAATACATAAATATACCTTCACTGCAGTCATAGATAAGGGACTAAAGAAACAAATTCCCTTCTTAGTTTTCTACCCTTCCCAGCATCTGCTTCTCTCTGACCAAGTCAGTAACACTTAGGAGATTTTAAAAAGATGAGTCCTCCTTAATAACTTATAAAAAGATCTTTCCAGAAACCAGTACTATTAAGTTTTCACTTACCTACACCTACTTGCACATTTCTTTTATTAGAAATCTCTAGCCTAGAGGTTAATAGTACAGGCTGTGGAGCCAGAGTGCCTTATTTTAATCTCTACCACAAGCTGTGTTCGTCTTCTGTGTGCCCAAGTTTGTTTGTTCACTGACATGGAAATATTGGTACCTTTCTTTTAATAGTGATATAGAAGTGAATGTGCTGATTATAGATAAAACATTTGTAGGATGTACTGTGTACACGTAGTAAGTGTTCAATAAATGCCAACCTTCATTCTTACTGTATTTGAGAATAGGTGTTCAGAGCATTCTTTAACTTACAAGTTACAATGAGACCAAGCCAGGCTCATGTGGTACAGCTTATCAAATTGCAATCCAAAATCTAAGAATTAGTATTATTTAAAATATTCTCTCTCAATACCTTTTTGGTAAACAGGCAATAACTCTATTTTTGAAAGCTCTTGATATGTAGGCAGAGAAAAGCCAAAGCAGGTAGTAAAAATGCAAGTGCTGAGCCTCCAGAGACCAGGAGGAGGATCCTGAAGGTTTATAGTATACCTGAGGGCCTCTCCAATTAAGCACTAGTTCCCTCTTACTGCTGAAGATGGTCAGGCTTGAGACTCACTCTTTGTGGCCCCCATGCTGCTCCAGAAAGGGCTTAGGCTTCGGCAGCAGGCCTCATACCTCAGAGCTGTAACCAGGGGATGGGGTTTAGCTCAGCAGTACAGCATGTGCTTAGCCTTAATTATACAGCTAGTGTGTTCCCCAGCATTTATCTCTAGCTCATATTGTATCTATATATTGCATTCATAATCTTATTAAAAGACTTATCTATCCAGGTTAATAGTGCTTTCTTGAAATTTTCAGGTAATCCTTACAGATACGAACTGCTTGATTTCCCCATGGATTCAAAGAAGAAAGCATTAACTTGGCCGGGTCAGGATGTATATTATGATGTAAGTATAATGTGTGTTTAAAAGAGAGTAATTTGCATGTTTATCCAACAAATTTTTAAGGAATTAAAGATAGGTTGTGCTATTTGCTGTTTAGTGAAAAATGAAATTTTGACTGTGATTTGCATGTTTCCATTTTCTTATCTGGTTTCAAATACTGTATTTTGGTAGTTACAGAAAACTTCCACAGTTACTTAACATACACACACACACACACACACACACACACACAAAAAAAAAAAAAAAAAAAAAAAAGATGGTAGGGAAGTGCTGTACTTCACACACTGTTTCCCTATCCCTATTAAGATGTATGGTATATCCAGTATTACATATATGTATAGAGTAAATGGAGATTTTCAGAAAGATTTATAAGCTATTATTGTTCTAGATTGTTAGTGCATTGCATTAAGTATAAAACAAAACAGTAGCCATCGTTTATTGAGAAATTACTATGTACTGACCACCTGAGATATGTCATATTACCTTATAATAACTTCATAAGATTAGTATCAGTCCCATTTTAGAAATGAGGAAACTGAGGCTTAGAGTTTGTAACTATGTTGTGATCACATAGCACAGGTTTGTGAGACTGATTTTTGCTCTTAACCATTACACCACCTGAATAGAAAATTTTAAATCATGAGAGAAATATGTAGACATTTGAAAATAAAAATAGATACCATTTAGTGAGCAGGCAGTACCTTTGGGAGAGGCAATACCAAGAGTTTTCAGTATATGATCCCTTTGCACTAGCAGCCTGGGAGACAGGCAAAAAATAATTATGATATGTTGGGAACACTGGAGATTTGGAGAAACTGTTATGGTAGCCACCTGGAGGTCACTGGAGTGTTGCAAGGTGATGCCTGCAGTAAGCAATTTCCTATTTGTTTTTTAAAGTTATATGTCAGAACAGTCTTTGAGGAATCACTGAGTATATTCCATCTATTCCATTCTATCGACCCAGAAATATGGGAAGGTATTTTCAGACCACCCTGACATCACGTGTTATAGTCAGACTCTGTAGGACAGCCCCGTCTTAGCACTGCTCTCTTCATGTACGCCTGTCTGCAGCTGCCTTGAATAGCTTCCCCTTGCCTGACATAAATCCCAAGGCTCTGAGTTCAGAGACCCTAAAGCATCTGGCCTTACTTCCTGCCCTACAGCCCGGCCGCTCTGGCTGGGCCCTGAGTAGGCCCACAGCAGTTCTCTCTCCTGGAACACCTGTCAAAACTTGCTCATTCTCCAAGCTTAAACTGTTGTTTGGAAAAAACAAACAAACAAACAAAAAAACCTGTTGTTTGTATTCTTTAGTACAGCAAGAACCAAGTCAGAAGATCTGCATTCTAGGTAGTCCCCGGTTGCCTTTTACTGACTCAGTGATACAGCTGGAAGCACACTGTGTCTCTGCTCAAAATTTTAATTAATATACAGTTGCAAATTTTAGTAAACCTGTCCTACAATATAGCACTGTAATACATAAAACATTACTCCAGCAGAAGTGCTCTGTCCTCTCACTTTTACCACGCTTTCTACAACCAGAAGCTTTTCATATCTATCTTATATTTCAACTAAATTACATGCTTTTTTTTTTTTTTTTTTTTTTTTTTTTTTTTTTTTGCGGAACCGGGGATTGAACTCAGGCTCTTGAGCTTGCCAGGGAAGCACTTACTCCACAGAGCCATCTCCCCGGCCCTTACATGCTCTTTGAGGACTCAATATATTTTGTATATGCCCACTTCATGTTTTGTATGTAAATATTTTTGACTGATTTGATTCTTTGTCTTCAAATGTTCAATTTCACTAGTTGTTGCGGTACAGGAACTGCGCGCAGGCCCGTAAGCCTGCCAAGCAGGCGTGGCGCTGCTGAGCTGCATCCCTGGCCTGCTCACACTGTCTTAATCGGCTCTCCCTAGACTGTTGTCAATGTTTCAGTTTCTCTTTCTCTTTCTCTCCCGTTTGTGCTCTCTCTGTGCTCACCCTTTAGCCCCAGCAGGTTTTGCACTGCCCTAGACAAACAAATACAAACAAAATAGATAGTGTTTTATAGGAGTACTTCGTGGCTCACCTTTAATTTCTTTTTTTTTCGATCTTAAAGGACAGTGCCTTGTTTGTGTCTTCCACTTTCCTACCTTTTTACCCCTTAATTGGCAAAGGTAGTCAAAAGAGACTTTAACTCTGCACTTGTTAAAAGAGAACTTTTTAGTCCAGGAGTACCTTACCACTGAACTACATCCTCAGCCCTTTTTATTTTTGAGACAGGGTTTCTCTAAGTTACCCCAGCTGGGCTCAAGAACTCCCAATCCTACTAGTGACCTTTTGTAATGCTAGAGTAGCAGGGCTGAACCTTGGCTGCTCTTAGAATCACCAGGGACACTTTGAGAACTCCCTGTTCCCCACGTGCTCCACATTCACTAACTCATTCTTTGAGGGTGGGACTCACAGCAAGAATTCCTGCAGGGACTAGAAGCGTGTTTTTATGGGCTAATACTCTTCTTGCACCTCCTACACCCAGAGGAGGAGGAAGGACAACAATACTGGCCCCCGATAAGTAGTTCCTAATATGTGTCACCTAGCCATAAAAACTCTAGAGACTGTGTTTTAATATTTTTCATCCAAGTCTATAAAAAAGTGTATACAACACATTAATAATGAATGAGGGGTCTAGAGAGACAGTTCAGTGGCATAAGTACATACCTGGCAAGCGCAAAGTCTGGAGGTCAGTCTCCAGTACCACACACACACACACACACACACACACACACACAAAATAACAATAATAATAATAATGAATGAGGGCTGGGGATGTAGCTCAGTGGCACAGCACTCCCTGGCAAGCACAAGGTCTGAGTTTGATTCCTGATAGCAAATAATAACAACAATGAATGGATTGTAAAGTGGCGCAGCTCAGCTCCTGGCTGTAAAACTTATTACTCTATGATCTTTTTTTGCGGTACCAGGGATTGAACTCAGGACGCTGCGCTTGCCAGGCAAGCATTTATTCTACTGAGCCAACTCCCTGGCCTGATCTTTGTAATATACTTAATTCTCTAATATCAATTTCCTAATAGATGAAGCAGGAGTAATAATAAAATCAACTTACTAGAATTGTCCTGAGAATGAAATGTATATGAAAGCTCCTATGACCCTATTAATACATAAGCACATAATAAATATCAGGTGCTGTCAGTATTTATTCACTTATTCCAATGATTATACTACACAGTTTACCTAGCAACAGTGATAAATTGGGTAATCTTAGAAAAGTATTCCAGATTAAGAAGGCTGAACCTTTTAACATTGAGATGCTAGGGCTTAATTTTAATAGAATATTTTAAGGGGCTGGTGAGATGGCTCAGTGGTCTAAAGCACCTACTTAGAACAAGCTTAGCATAGCACAGGGACCGCGGTTCAATCCCCCAGCACCACATGCCAGCCAGCCCCGCCCCCTGGTGGGCTGAGCTGGCCACACACACACACACACACACACACACAAATAAATAAAAATTTAAAAAATAGAATATTTTAAAAGTCAGCTTGACCTCCTTTCCCATTACCAGCACGTGAAACCTGTACCTCAGGACTCATTGAGCTATGTGTACTGCTTTCCTGTCCTGACCCCAGAGCTGTCTTGTGTGCTGTCTTTTGCCTGGCCCTGTTTTCCCCACAGTCCTTACTAATCACTGCACTTCTCACTCTTAACTAGGACCACTCTTGCCACCTCTTTCTCTTGTCCTAACCATTTCCATTAACAATCCAACCACCCATACCATTTGCTTTCACAACTGGAAAACATAAACAGGTGTTAATATCTGACTCTTTCCAGCTGTTTATGTCATTACTTGTTCAAGTGGCTGGCAACTTTAGTCCTATTCCTCAAGAGCAGAGGTATCTAGTCTTTTTTTGATATAAGTCATTAGAGTGAAATTTAACTTGTAATCATCTGTGGAGTAAGATGAGATATAATCACAGAGGTGTCATAAACATCCCTAAGAGACTATGTGAAATGTTCTTTAAAACTTATGTGAACCTATTTATTAACATAGTCATTCAATCTTTCTTAAACCTCAATATTCAGCTAGACCCCTAGGTTCCCCCTAAAACACAGCTTACTTTATTACCCAGAAAAAGAGCTGAGCTACCTGCCCCATTTCAGACTAAAATGCCCTTCACTTTCCCAGAGTCCCCATTCCTGGGACACAGTACTTTCTCCATGACGGCACCCACAATCCAAACTCATCTTCAGACGGCAATAATGGATTCAGTGAGCATTTAGGCATCTCTTTTGAAAAAGTACCATCAAAAAAGAAAAAGCATCATCAAATAACTGGATACCCATATGTGGACCTCTCCATTACTGCCAACACCCTGTGCCCATCTCCCATTTATTGGCCTGGGATCCAGAATGGGAAACAATGGCACTCATGGTCCCCGCCACCCATGCGTTGTGACTCAAGACTCTGAGTCTGCCCGCTTCCCTGTTCCATCTCAGCACGCTCTTCTGCACCCTCCTTCCCTTTCCCTCCCATATCCTAAGTAGAAACCAAAAACTTTTCTGTTACAGTCTCTTATTTGTTCCCTCTGTCATATTATCCTATATCCTATAGAATCTCTTTCTTTATCCTATATATAAATTAACAGTGTTTCTAATCATAAATTTTTAGTGTGAAAATGCTGTTAATACCAATGTCAGTACAATTAAATGAAATATTGCCCAATAAGGAACCAGTGTCCCAAGATGCTAAAGTCTATACAGAGGGCAACATGGTCTCCAGGACAACACAGTCTTCATAAAAACCTATTTTTTATGTTACAGGGCCAACCAGATAACTCAGCAGATTAAAACACCTGCTTAAGCAGATGCAGGGACCAGGGTTCAATCCTCCCCACCCCCGAATGCCATGCTGGCCCCACTCCCAGTGCACGCTGAGACTGAGACGAATGAGACCAGGCGAATGACACTAGACGTGGTGGTGCACATCTGTAATTCTAGTGCTTGGGAGGCTGAAAGCAGGAGGAACACTAAAGTCCAAACTCTGTAATGAGACCCTGTAGACCCTGCACTAAATACATTAAAAAAAAAAAAAAAACTATTCATGTTGCAAAAATAGCTCAGCGGCATAAGTGCCTGCTTAGGAAGTGCAAGGGCCCAAATTCAATCCCTCGTTTTAAAAAAAGAAAAAGATAAAAACACCTAAATAAATAAACCTGGTCATGCTCGTTATGAACCCCTAGATAAGTCTCATCATTCAAAATTAGAGACAAAGGGTCGGCCAAATAGCTCAGCCGATTAAAGTGCCTGCTTAGGCAGAGCTCAGTGGCCAGGTTCGATCCCCGGTGCGCTGTGCTGTGCAGTGCTGGCCCTGCCTGTGTGCCACGCTGAGACTGTGATTGAGACTGGGTGTGATAGCACACACGTGTAATCCCAGCTCTTGGGAGGCTGAAAACAGGAGAATCACTACAAGTCAAGTCCAATCTGTGTAGTGAGACCCTGTAAACCCTGTACTACATACGGGAAAAAAAAAAAATTAGAGACAAAGAAACCTGTACTTTAAGTTTTTTTGGTTTGTTTTTTTTTTGGGGGGGGGCTCCTTTTTTTTTTTTTTTTTTTTTGGTGGTACGGGGGCTTGAACCCAGGACCCTGCACTTGCCAGGCAAGTTCTTATTCTACTGCACTATCTCCCCCAGGCCCCTGTACTTAGAGTTTTTATACACTATATTACAACCCATATGATTTTCTAAGATTTTAGTGGCAATTTATTGCCTAACCCAGAGCCCTTGGAATCTTGCACAAAGTTTTGCATGTAACAAGTATTCAGTAAATCCTCATGAAATGTAATGAGCTACATGTATTTCATGGCCTGTGTAGGAAATGTAGCCAAAATTTATATAGCATTATTTCTATAAAAGTGTATTCCAAACTCAAGAAACACTGACATCACTTCTTAATAAACTAACGCCGTGGCAGGAACTGAAATTCCTTTCTGCCTGGACTCATCTTCCTTATCAGATACAAATTGCCCTGGGCATGCATGATTGCCACCAGCCCCTCTCACTGTCACAGAATAACATCGCCTTAGTGTTCTAAAATTAAGCAGTTGTCCGCCCACATAGGTATCCTTACTAATTTAAACTCCCTTCCCAAGACACTGGACACTACACTGAATTTCACATTTCCTGTCCTCTTTTCTCAGACCCTAGACTGCATTTCAATGAGCCACTGCTCTCAGTTCAACCAGTACTTGGGAAAAGTCCTTCTTTATTTCCAAGTTAGCTGGCTATATAAATAATTGAAGAGATAAGGGGAACAGAGAGGGCATTCTTTATGCCTGAATAAGCAAGCCATGTACTGTTTGTTGAAGGGCTGTAGAAGGAGTTATTTAACATTTCCTGAAACAGGCTTCCAAGTATCTTTTAGCATGACACTTTGTATAAAATAGGATCACTTCAGCCCCACAGGGGTGCTAGTAGTGCCATCTTTCTTAGGCCCAGTAGCTTTATAAGGGCCCTACACTTTAAAGGGCCCAGCTCTGCATATACAGGTGCTTAAACAATAAGGTCTGAGGGTCATCTATCAGAGAAAAGATGATTTCTAAATAACTAGACACTGCAATGAAACTCATTCATTCATTCATGTTTACATGTATACCTCTTTTGAAAATGAAATAAAACTCCATAGTTATAGCCGAAGGATGAAAATTGAATTTGAGTAACTTAATAACCTGCATCAGAAAATGATAAAAGATAAGTGGTTTCATTTCAGGCAGGAAAGGAAAAATGGCACTCAATTTTGGCTAAAGAAAGCTAAGAGAACCACAACACCCACTGTATCTCTAATAAAATTTTACGAAGCCAGAGCATCCAGGAACAATTCTCCAGCATAAATTATCAGAGGCTTTTAGAAAAGACCTCATGATTTCTTTGATATTATAAGTAATTCTAAATATGGCTACAAGGGCCAGCAAGATAGCTGAGAGGACTAAGTGCCTACTTTAGCAAGCACAGGGACCAGGGTTCGATCCCGCATGCCTTGCTCCTGGGGCACAATGAGCCAGCAAATGAGTCCCTGGCATGGTGATGCACCCCTGTAATACCAAAGCCGGGGAGGCTGAAAACAGGAGGATCACTACCAGTCTGAGCTGCATAGTGAGACCCTCTACCAAATAATAAAATGAAAATAAATAAATATGGCTACAGTTAACAGCCACTGTGCTCAGATTGAATATTGGTAATTAATGATGGAAAAAACCTTTACCTCAGCCTGGACTTTTCTTTGCCTCATTTCTGCTGAGACAGTGAATCAGCTCCTACTCTCCTAGATGACATTAACAGAAATCATATTTATGTTTATATTCTAGTTTCCTAAATGTCTTGAGAAAAATAAGCCAATGTTCTACCCAAAACCACCTAAAACCTTTGCTCCTAACACATCTTTAAACTCATGGGATGTTATGAATTCTGCAAAGGAAGCCAACATAAAAAGGAATCTTGAAAGGTCACATTGGATTACTTCATACAATCATGATTTTACAGGTATGTGTCCACATTAATATAAGCAATGGTGACCACAAAATTGGAATATGAAACCAAGGACAAATGGAGTCACAAGCTTTCATGTCTAATACTTTTCCCTGTGCTGCAATCTAAGTACTAATTCAAACAAGAGAAATGGTACCTTTCTCTTAAATGATAGCCAGGAGGCAGAGTTCATTTTCATTTTATTCGTCCTATTACAAAGTTTTCTTGTAAAAGGTAACTTAATTATTCTTCATTTATTCTACCAAAATAATAAAACTGTTTCCATTAAGGTCTGGGACCCATGACCCCCCTTGAACTGGATGATTACCATGCAAAGGAAGTAGCAGCCCTAACAGGACAGACAGAATTTGACCCACTGCCTGTAAGTACCTGCAGTTAGCCCTCCACTGTCTGTGGGGAGAGCAGCCAAGTGTTGAGCCCCTTCTTGCTTTGCCCACTGTGTATCCCTGTCATGAGTACTGGAGCCCATTCTAGCAAAGTGAAAATCTAACTCATTTTAGAAGCTCATTCTGAACTTAATACTCATCCTCACTATTTTAAAAAGGTTTTTTAAGGGCCTGCCAGGTAGCTCAGTGGATTAAAGCACCTGCTTAGGCAGACGCAGGGGCTGGGAGTTTGATCCCCGGCCTGCCGTGCCGGCCCTGCCCCCAGGGTGTACTGACACATTGAGACTGGGCATGGTGGCCTGCGCCAGTAATCCCAATGCTTGGGAGGCTGAAAAACAAGAAGGATTACTACAAGTATGATCTATGTAGTAAGACCCTGTAGACCCTGTTCTAAATACGTAAAAATAAAGTTTCTTCTTCACAGTGCAGTTTTTCAAACAGATTTTCTGTTATGCTACTATTGCTAAAATAATTTCCAAAGAAATTGGTGTACAAAAGACAAGACCTTAACTAGTAATTTAATGAGATTCTTAATAAATTCTGGATCTTTGCATATTTCTGTATCTTATACATTATCATTGCTTTTAAAGAAACAAAGACTTCTTCCCAATATTCACAGTAATTGAAAGTTGGCTAAGTTATCGTCAAAAGCCAATAAATTACTGCCTATATCAGTAGTTTTGCTAGGGAAGTGCTTATTCCACTGAGCCATCTTCCCGGCCCCATACACCTCTTTTGAAAATGAAGTAAACCTCCATAGTTATATCTAAAGAATGAAAATATATTTCTATAGCATAATATTTATAAAACATCTCAAACAGGCATCCTATTTGTAACATATCTCAAAAATAAGCATGGATAGTGGCTGAAAGAATAGCTCAGTGGTAGAGTATGTGCTTAGCACAGATAAAACCGGGTTTAATTCCCAGCACCAAGTAATAAATAAAAAAGCACAGGCATAAAACCTCAGACCAGTGCTTCCCAATGCATAGCATGTCATTTTTTTTTTTTTTTTTTTTTTTTTAACATATTTAGTACAGGGTCTACAGGATCTCACTACACAGATCAGACTCAGTGATCCTCCTGTTAGCCTTCCAAGCGCTGGGATTATAGGCGTGTGCCACCACGCCCAGTCACAGTTGTTGACCCAGTGCACCCTAGGGGCAGGGCTGGCACAGCACACAGGGCATCGAACCCTAGTGGCTTAGGCAGGGTGCTTTAGTCCACTGAGCTATCTGGCTAGCCCTTTGCATGTCATTAGTCTCAATAGTACCTGAGGGGCTGGAGAGATGGCTCGGTGGTCTAAGGCACCTACTTGGAACAAGTTTAGCAAAGCACAGGGACTGTGGTTCAATTCCCCAGCACCACATGCCAGCAAGCCCCGCCCCCTGGTGGGCTGAGCTGGCCACACGCGTGCACACACACACACACACACAAATAAATAAATAAATTTAAAAAAAAAAATAGTACCTGAGCCCTTTGTTTTAAAATGCAGATTTTTTTTTTTTTTTTTTCAGTACTGTGCAGGGGATCAAACTCAGGACCTTGTACTTGCCAGTCAATAAAATGCAGATTCTTAATCCAAGCATGGTAGTACACACCTATAATATCTGTGATCCCAGCACTCAGGAAGCTGAGACAGAAAGATTGTTGCAAGTGTAAGACCAGCCTGGGCTACAGAGTGAGCTCAAGTCCAGCCTAAAGTGCATAGGAGATCCTGACTCAGATCAATCATCAGATTCTTGAACTGAAGGAATAGCCCAGTGGTACAAGACATGCTCTGGATTCAATCCTCAGCACCAAAAAGAAAAAGAAAATGCAGGCACCGGGGAGATACCTCAGTGGAATAAGCGCTTGCCTGGCAAGTGCAAGGGCCTGAGTTCAATCCCTGGTTCTGCAAAAAAAGAAAAAGAAAATGCAGCTCTCTGAGCCTCAGTGCGGGGTGTGTGTGTGTGTCTGTCGCCAGCTCAGCCCACCCTGGAGGACCAGCTGGAACAGCATGTGGTGCTGGGGAGCAAACCGAGGTTCCCGTGTGCTTGCCTAAGCAGACACTTTAGATGCTGAGCTATCTCACTGGCCCCAGTGCAAACCTTTTTAATCTGTCTTAGAAAATCAAGTTTAGGAATATTACTCTCTCAGCTCTGAAAAGGATTCTGATTCAACCAATATTGAAGAACCTTTGCTTTAGCCTCATAAAGAAGTTTTGCACCAGCTACAGTGGCACACACATGTAATCCCAGCACTTAGGAGGCTGACACAGGAGGATCATTGACAGTTCGACCAGCTTGGGCTACAAAGTGAGTTCAAGGCCAGCCTGAACTGCATAGCGAGACTCTGTCTCAGAAAGACCAAAAAAAAAAAAGTTTTTGCTGACATATTTAAATAACTGTCCACCACTGCTAATTCCTAGTATTGGTGATAGTTAAGATATTTCATCTCACTAATTCTTTTTATATATTTATAAGTTTGAATGCAAAGAGTTCTCATATAGAAAAGTTGGGCACAGTGGTGCATATCTATAATTCCAGCACCTGGGAGGTTGAGGCAGGAAGTTTAGTGCAAGGTCAAGGCCAGCCTAGGCTATGAAGTGAATTTAAGGCCAGCCTGAGCTGCCTAGCAGAAACCCTGTCTCAAAAAAACAAAAAGTTTATCACCAAATAAAAAAACATGGCTGTCATGTGCCGCTCTGCCTTGAAGCCAGCTGAGTATGGACTGAAATCTCCAGTAACTACCAAGATAAAGCAAGACCAATATAACAAGAAATGTAACTTCTGTATCGGGTGAAGCCCAAACTCCTTATCAAGATCCTTAAGCCCGAGAGCGCAGGCCCGGCGAGTGAGTGAGACCACCTGGGCCCTCCGGATCCTGAACAGACCCAGAGTGCAGGCCCAGCGGGGAACCCTTCAGCAGAACTCCCTGAAAAGAGGCTAGAGGCAAGACCCACCCAGCTGATTCAGGAGCAGAACATCTTCCCAGAGAGACAAAAGGGTTCACCTCTAACGCCTGCAGCAGAAAGTGGAGCACACAGCCAGAACCAAACAACACCCACCTGGAGGAATCTGAACTTCACAGATCTGGACCCCGTGCTAAGGTAATTAACTCTATCAAAGCTCTCCACCAAAGGTCAGAAGACAGTGGTATAGAAAATGACAAAGGGAAGGAACAAAATGCAGTCTCAGGCCCCAGGTCCACCCAGTACAAATGCAGAAAACACTAGCACTGAGGAAACTGGAAATCACATGCCAGATATCTCTGAAATAATAGTGTTGGCAGTAAAGAATCAACTGCAGAAAGGCATAGAAGAAATCAGATCAGAAATAATTTTGGAACTAAAAAATGTAGTGGTAACTATAATCAAAGAAGTACTAAGTGCTTCTAAAGAATACATTGATAAAAAAAATAGAGGAGAATATAAAAATGGTAGAACCCCTGAATAATTTAGGAAAGAAATAGTATCTATGAAACAGGTTTGTCCCAAACCAGCGGGTCAGTCAACGAAGGTCACCTGGGGGAGGAGCGGGGAATTGAAGAGGGGACAAAGAACAGGAGACGCGAGAAACGGTGGCAAGACAAAGGTTCTGATCAAGCCTCATTTATTTAGGGGAGGTTCTGGGTATATATAGGGGGTGATGGAAT